GTGCAAGAAGGGGAAGAAGACATTGTATTGCTTGCTTGTGGCCCCTTCAACAAGGAAGACAGTGGTGAGCAGAAGCAACAGGCAGAAAGTGATGAAAGAACAGGCAGTGTGGCAAAAGCAACAGAGGAGATGATCATGGGGTCCATCAGGCACATTCCTAAATTAATACAACTGTCACAGTCAGCTGAAAGGTGCTGGTCTAACAGACTGAAACATTAGTCTGCTGAGCAACACTCCCACGCCTCCACAGAGTAGCATTTTTATTGCAGTATGTCTTTCATGGAAAATGAACAAAATTTTAAATAAATCACAATTACTTATTGCTTAGTATTTTGGATAATAAATTCTTTAGTTTATCAGTACCTCAGGGCCTTCAAATGTGCATTCTTCAAATAGTTTCAATTACATATACATTCTTTCTCCTGAACAATAAATTATTCTTAAAAAAAAAAAAAGAAAAAAGAAAAGATACATAATTTTAAAGCAAAGAAAAACAAAAAAAACCCCATATATTTTTGACATTTATCTTAAACTTATATGAAAACAACTCTATGTTAGATGCTTAAATATAAATAATAAAGGACAATATGTTATTTACAATGTTACACAGTAAGTTGAGAGAGTAAAAAACTGACATTAACTCATAAAGACAGTAAATGATTTAGGAAAACATCCAAGTAACGTACAATGTGTATTTACAAAAGAATATATAATAGAACTCGTGGTATGTGGCCATTTCCTTTTGCCTGCACTTGTCTGCAGTGTTTCACGGGTCTTTGCAGATAGAAATTTCTGTGGGTGGTGGAATGGAGTCAGTACTAAAAGATAAAACCAGGCCTTCCTTATTTTCACCATTTTGTGAGCCATGCACCTTTTAACTCAGGCCAAAAAAAGGAATAATTATGAGCAAGTTACCCTGGATAAACTCCACCTATATCAAGACAGTCACACTTAAACAAGGAGGATACGGTCTGTGGTGTTTGGGACACATTTCACATATACTCAGGCAGAGTGCCATTTTGTAGAAAGCATGAGGCTGTCCAGGCACTCCTGAAAAAAAAACAAACAAAAAAAGGCATACCAGGCAAGAAGGGGGAGTAGGACAGAAAGGGAATCTGGAGTGAGAAAAAGAAGTTTTGCCTACCCCTCGGTGGGGTATGATTTCAGACCCAGGAAACACAGTTGCTGTCAAACTTCTGGGCAACTTCCACTCCCTGGAAACCCCTCTGAAGCTTGCCACATGCTGGGAGCATGGGTTCACGCCCCTCCGCGGAATTGCCACTACACCGCCTGGGTTTATAGACAGGGCTGGTTGAGAGCCATGTGCGGACTAAACGTCACAGAGAGGTCCATTTGAACACAGAGCTGGTGGTGGCAGCAGGTAGCCCTGAGGAGACAGCTGGCCTTTCTTACCAGGGGAAACTCGTTCTCCAGAAGGAAAGGCTGTCCCAGAGAATATGCCACGTCTCTGAGTGACCAGAATCAAGCTGGAAATAAAATTTCCTCTTGTCCTAAATGTTCCTGTGTATTTGCGACCTGAAAATGTAGATAGCAATTTTCATACTGAGGAAAATGTTGGTTTCAGAAGATTTCATTTATTCTGGAAATTCTCCACAATGGGGCATTTGAATACTCCAATGCCCAAAGATTTTTGCAGCAGAAATTTTAGACTTTTCATTAATGGTAGAAATTTCTTTATTGACATAGTCTCTGAATGACCCAAGGCCTTCAAAGGCAATATTAATTTAATGATTTAAAGGACCTCTTTGGGTGGACTGTCCTCTTCCCCCTGCCACGAGCTTACTCATTTCTACAGAAGTGGGAAATCGGAATAACTTGGGCAACCCGAAAGAAGCACAGAGAAAGTGGCATGTGAGTAATGAAGGACAGTTCAGGATACCAAATACTAAGAGTAACTTCAAGGACCTGCAGACAGACATCTCTGTGGGTTGTAGAAACATGAAAGTTGCTTAATGACATGCCTCGCGTCCAGCCCGCATTTTCCCACGAACTCCTTGCACGTCCCTTCTTCCCGAGAATTTTAACATAGACATTTGATGAAGAACTAAACCCAGTTCACCTGCAAACAAGCAGCAGCTGCTCTTGTTGACTTCACGCCTGGTATTTGGAACCCCCTGCTGACCCGTTTCCTGTTTTGTCCCATGGATCCCAGGAGGTCACCAGGAATCTAAGTAAAGCTCTAGCCTGATTTGACAGATATCAGGCAGGGCATGAAATAGGGCCTGCATTTTTTTTTTAAAATCCCCTTATTTTCCTGAATTAGCGTTTATTCCACATATTAACACCTATAGGCCTTCCTCGGACTTACAATCACAGAGAACATGCAAAGTTTAGACCCATCTTCCATCCTGTTTTGTGACAGTAAAGCAAAAGGTAAGAAAGGGGAGGACATGGATGATACAGGCTGCAGATTGAGAGGTCAGGACAGAGGTGGGGGGTTACTTCTGCAAGTAAAGGTGCAATCTTTCCAACACTGTCAACGTTCCCTGATGAATCGACACTCTTGGAAGGCTCTTGCTAATCACAAATCACATGCACGTTGGCCATTCCTGACAAAAATGTTCATGCATAGTTACGACCTGATCGAGGCAACATGGAAAAACAAGAGGAAAGTCATGAGGAGAAAGGCGTGGTCAACAGAACTGTTTAAAACTGCGACCAAGTCACATGGCTCTTCTCCACCTGTGCCTTCCAGACACTCACTCCTTCTAGATACTCTACAACAGAACTATTTCCCTATGATAACTAGTCACCACCGCATACGGCAGGCATATTTCACTGCAGAAGTATTTCAAATTGCTGAGTGTGCCGTTTAAGCTGGTCATTTTGTGCCGTAACACGTCTGTTCTTGAGCTGATAAGACACAACCAATGGCTAGCTCCCCAATCAGTGAAAAACACAAGTCAAGAACGATTGCACCTTTTTCAGCCATGGTTTGATTTTCAACTAGATGACCTGCTGTATCATTCCCCCAGAAAGTGAGGTGGAGTCCTCTTAGAAGACGATGGATTTACCCCGACAGCAAGCCAGAACCCATTTACGATGCTATCCACCCAACTGTTGCTCTTTGTCAAGAAAAATAAACCCCAATAAAGCAAATGGTAGCTCTTTTTCGTGAGAGCAAGCTGTCTTCTGATTAAGAATATAGTTTTTTAAAAAAATCACAATACTACTTTCTTCCTAATATTTAACATTACTTAATGCAGTTTCCTGCTGTAATTAATAGTAGCATGCTGTTGGATCTACTATTATCTCAGAGCCCAGTGAAGCAAACCTTTGGCTGGCAGAGTAGACACAACTCATTTCATATACTGAAAGCAAAAGAAAACTTCGTACAAAAGAGAAGAGTATTTGGATGGATGTGCCATTACAAGACGTACTGATCGGGCGCTACTAGAAATAGCAAACAGAGGGACAGTTGCAAGTCTTGCAAATCATACATCCTGTCAACATCATAATGCAATGCACAAGAAGCCAGCGAAAACTGAATATATGGGAGGTTTTGCTGAAATACTGTGGAAAAGCAATCACAGTAACTGTACAAAACTCGCTCTCAACATAACAGAACATAAAGGCACCATTGATATCTTTCTCGTTTTGAAATACTGTAAAAAATTGCTACATATGGCACATAACACATTTGTACATACATATATTTAATTTATAAAAGTTTTTTTTTTCCTGTTTTCTATTTGCAGAACTGCTAAAATAAAATAAATTGTTTAATTTAAGGTGGAATACTTTATTATATAAAATAAAGTTTTACAGGTGAATCTATGTGTTTATTTAGGTTTTATACAGCGATAGGGTCTTGGTTAGCGATTACACTAGACAGCCTGGCCTGCAATTCCTCCTGCGTCGAGAAGCGGCCTGCTGGGTTAGTCCTGCTGTCCGCCAGGCGGAAGGCAGGTGCTGCCTCAAGACTGGCTGCCAGGGGGTTCTGAATGCCCAGAAAGGGAGTATCTTCCCCTACCCTCTCATCTTCTGTTTCACTCTCTGAGTTAGTGCCCTCAGCGCTTGCGTTGCTGTCCATTTCCAACCTGTTAGCAATGTGGCCATTGAGCTTGGTTCTTTTGGCCCGCCGGCTACTGGTGAGTTTCTTAACAGGCTCTTGAGCTGGCTCGTACTCCTGGGTGGTTTCATACTCCTCATCTTCCACTATCCTCAAGGGGCTAGGGGGCAGGCTGTTGTTCCCATGTGAAGGGTTGTGGTGGTAGGAGTTGAACTGCTGAGGGTGGGGGTCATACTTCTCCCGAAGCCGTGGTGCTGTCACAAGAAGCAGAGGTCTCTCTTCTTCCACGAAGGGGCTGACTGCCATGATGGGCAGGGACACCGCCGTGCTGGACACAGGTGGAGACATTTCCGAAGGGGGCGATTTGGGGGAGCTTGGCGTGTGGAAATCTACAGGTGACATGCGAGCCGGGGTGGTCATTGCTGACACATACCTGTGTGAGCACAGAATACCCCCCCATGAGTGTGGTGGAAGAAGAGGCAGAGGCAGGGAGGGTAAGGGGGACAGAAGTCACGATATTACAGAATCAGAAAACAAAGAATTTCTATGCGTTGTACACTTCTCGATTTTTAACACTAAGGACGTTCGGCACCCTTGGAATCTGAAATTATGTAGCCAAGAGTTTCCTCACGGGAGTACATGCATAGATCAGCTAGGTGGCCTAACTCAACCAAGCTTTGGGGATTTTCAATCTCATGGTGATTTTAAATAAAAGCATGTGAGTCAGGACAAGAGGGCACTAGGTCCCAGAAACTTCAGTTTACAAGGACCAAGGCGCAGGGATTTGCAAGGGAAAGAAGTATTACTTAAATACTATACCTTCCTAAAGGCCAAGGGGTCTTAGAGAATGAAGCCCAAATGGGGAATGGAAGAAGATCTAAGATGAGTTGCTGAGAGCTGGATCTGCATGCATTTGGATCTGTGTGCCTTGTTTCTCCTTAGCTCAGCTATAAGGTTATGTCTTATGAAAAAAAAAAAAGCATAGTAACTTAGATTTATTCCTGATAACAGTGTAACACATTTGTGTGCTTTCAGTTTTTCCATGAAATGCTACTTCTTAACATTCAATTTGCAACTCTCCATCCCAGTGACCAAGACATTCAGAAAAAAGCCTGAGAAAACCTTATGTTGGCTCCCGAGGTATGTCCAAGCTCCGGTCTACCTCTCTTCAAAACCATGGCTGCATCAATCTTTCGCTTATCTTTTTTTTTTTTTTTTTTAAGATTTTATTTATTCATTTGAAACACAGAGATACAGAGAGAGAGAGAGAAAGCATGAGCAGGGGAGAGAGGCAGAGGGAGAGGGAGAAGCAGGCTCCTCGCCGAGCCAGGAGCCTGACGTGGGGCTCGATCCCAGGACCCTGGGATCATGACCTGAGCTGAAGGCAGACGCTTAACCATCTGAGCCACCCAGGTGCCCCTCTTTCGCTTATCTTTTGTGACTGCTCAAGGGTTGGCTGCACCCTGGTACCTCATGACCTGTTATATCCAGTAGTGCTCAGTAAATCTCATTGCCAAGACATTGAGTGCATTTTTTTTTTTTAAACCATATCATGCTTTCTTCTTCTAGAACAAGAAGGCCTGACTTAGCACTGAGGAAGATGTGGCTTATTCAGAGTCACATTTCTCAACTTTGATAAAAATGTTGCCAATGCATAGCACCAAAGCTCTCTTTTCTTCACGTTGGCATTCACAGGGTCTAATTTAACATGACCTGTGATGACACAGGACACCGTTATCTGAACTCTAGCTAACAAGAACAGGAAACCTATTAACTTTCCTGCTCTTCAGCCATGATTCAGAGTCATATGGATGTGAGGTCTAGCTGTGTCTAAAACAGGAAGGTGTTTAGAGATGGAAATACTTGGGGCTTGAGGCTTCAACTTTTGTTCTGGGGATACTTAAATTAAGCTCTCTGAGAGATGCTAATCTGGATTCAGCCAACACATAAAGGTGATTCATCTTTTCTCTCCATGTTCTCGAGGTTCAGGTATATTTCGAGGTCCTAGATAATATCTGCAGTGTGCGTGGAAGCCTACCACAGCAGAGAAATGTCAGCCTTTAGAGAGAAATATCACATGGAGTGATGAAGAAAAAATTTATCCCTAACCTCTTTCTCAGGTCTCAAAAAAGACTGGATTAAGACAGATAGAGTTTCTTAATACATAAAGATACAATTATATGAATTTAAGACTAAGGTTTTAAACCACTTTGGGACCATGCCTACATTTTCACAGATGAATTGACAGAGCAACCTCTCATTCCATAAAGCTCTGAAATACCATTTTGGAGTAAAGACCCTTGAAGAAGTGATTAGCAAGCTCTATAGGACCTACTGGCCCAGAACTAGTCATCCTTTGTTACAAGGACTTCCCAGCCAGTCCATGAGTGGAAAGAGTCTATCAGCATTATCTCCACCCACGTAACTAGGTATGGATTTGACATTATGTAAACCTTTCGGCAAGTGGTCAAAGATGACGCTGAGATGGTGATACAGTAAACAAATAGACAACACCCCTCTGGATTTGAAAACAAACAAGTAGCAGCTTACTGATAATGCCACAAAGGCTGGTTGGATATAACTCGCTCCCAATTTAAGTGAAAATGAATCAGGACAATCTATGAATTCAGTATTCCTATGAAGCATCTCTTACTTTCCTCTGTTCTTGATTTTACCTTGTCTGTAACCCTCCTCCCCCCAACCCCCAACCCAATCCAATATCCCCAGAAGAAAGCCAAAACATTCTGGAATAAAGCAATATCTGCTTTGAAAACCACCTGTGAAGACTGCGTCTGCAGCATACAAGAGATTTATTTATTCATCCCTTCTTCGAATTTCGTAAAAGGGACACTACAGGGTGGAATGCAAGCAGTTGTGTCCCACGAGACTCAGCAGTGACACAGCCTTTGATTTGATTTAACTGAGGCTGGAAGGTAAGAAAGAGTTAGCACACAAGACCACGAGACCAGCTCGACCGGAGTTTGGGTAGCTTGGCAAATTCGAATTATTAGAAGGGTCTTTACGGACTGCTGGTGCCATCTCTCTAAAGTTACAACTGAGGAAACAGAGATGCCAAGTGGGTGTGAGCCTAAGGTCAGAGCTGGGACCTCTGGGTTAGCTGCCCCTCCAACATCAAATCACTCCCGCTCCTTAAGAGTCTGTTGCCTGTCAGCCACTGGGGCCATGCGAGCAGCTCAGAAGAAACGAGTTCAGTCAAACAAAAAGATGACTTCATCAACTAGGGAACTGGAACAAGCAAGTACCGCCCCTTAGGCTCATTAGAGTAGATTTCCTTAGGTGAGACCCCAGCTGCTCATGGGGATTCTCCTACTGGGGTGCTTTCTCCTCCGCAGTAGCTTTGCCCTTCGGTTTTACCTTTCACTATGAGGAGAGTCTCGGTAGGAGTCAGGGGTTTCTCTGGCATGCCTGAGGAAGCTGTTACATTCGCGAGGGCCTCCCAAGCCATTAAGTCGTCCTCTTGGGCCCCCAGCTGGGCTGCTGTGCCTACTGTTTTCTACTGATGACATCATGATTACAGAGTGACTTTCTGAAATGATGCTTTCAGTGTGCCCATTGCTCCAGCTGGAGGGGAAACGGGAGAGGCAAAGAGACATACATATGCATTTTTTAATGATACGCAAAAATGGAAAGGAAAGGAAGTGATCTGGTAACTATTTCAACTTACTGGTGTATCAGCAGTTGACGACAACATTACTTGTCTCAGAATAGAATTATTATTACTTGCTATAGAGGGGCTCTTGATTTTGTTTGGCTTTGTAAGAATACAGTTTATGCACCTGTTCACCCATTCAACACACATGTATCAAATGTCGGTATGTACTAAGTACTCTTGCAATCTCTCTGTTCTCCTGTGGCTTAGGTCAAGGAGACACTTGTCCTATGAGCTACATTTGGCAGTCCTTGGTAGCATGCACTCACATGGGGATACCCGAGGCCTGTGAGTCTAGCTATCGAACAAGTTCTCGTGTTCATTTCCAAGGGCAACCCAATCATTGGAAGGAGTCAACTTCTAAATATTCTATAGCATCTAGGACAGACTTTTTCCACTGTAGCAATTCAGTGAGTAGTCAGGCATGAGTAAAGACAATCTCTAAAATGGGGAACAACAATCCTGTGAGTGGGTATTATTTTCACCTTCAGTAATGAAAAAATGGAGGCTCAAATTTAAATGGCCATTAAATGGCAGAGCCAGTTGATGTCCAAAGTCTGTTTTTGTCCCCAGTCATACATGTTGTTATATGTCCTTGCCTCATAAGTGTCTCCTGTTCCTTTCTTAGGCAGTGAAAGCAAAAGACAATGTCTAGAAATTCTCTCTCAGAGTAGTAGTGCCCTGCAATTGCTTTCATTCTCATACCTGTGGCTAGGAGTCTGGGTGACAGTAGTAGAGTGGTGAGCTGTTGAGGTGTAGTGACTGGTGGAAAAAGATGTCTCCGCTTCTCTCTCAACAATATGCTCACTAGAGATGACATTTTTAGATACGTATTGCTGGATAAACAAAGAGACACAACTTGAAGATTCATATTAATCAAAACAGTAACATCATCATCATCACACACAAATTCTATTCTCATACATATACTTCATAACCCACTCCATTTCTCCAATAGTCAGATGGCAAATCCTATCCTGGCTCTATGGCCTTTAAATTCAGTAAATGAAATTAATGAATTATCCTTTGGATGCGCATGCAGTGTGGGTTCTGCAGTCTTAACTGCATATTATCAGAAACAGACCTAGTTCTTCTATCTTATTTCCAACTGATAATGTGAGTGGAATTCAAGACAAATCTCTGCCCCATATTCATTTTTTGTCATAGTTGTTGTAGGTGAAGAAGATTAACAGATAGCTGAATGCAACAAAAGCATAGAGATGGTTTGTCTTCTTTCAAATTTCAAGTCAGGAGACGGATTTTTTTTTTTTTTTAACAATCTCTATATTCTGGATCTACTTCTCTTTTTCAGTTTCCAAGGGCCCATGTTGCCCTAACGATAGCACTGAAATTTTCAATTTGTTGTCAGTGGTAAGACTAGCAAGGCCACTGAGAGTTTTGAAGGACTTACAGAAGCCGTCAAGGTCACACATCTTGACAAAGTACACAGTATACAGAGGGCCTATATATAGTGCAAGTAGATTCTATTTATTTTCATCACCAAATCGCACGAGCTCTTCCTGCCTTCAATCAGTGAAAGAGGCACATTTCAAAGTTGTGCTTGAAATGCTGTTAGTTTCATACCAAATTAAATTGAGTAATGGAAAAAGTCATGGAAAGGAATACTCTCAGATGAAATGGGCACTTTATAAGCAATGGGCTGTGGGCCTTAAAAGAACCTGATGTATTTATGGAAACCCCCAAAATATACAACTTGAATTATGCTTGAAACTCTAGTTGGTTCTCTTAGTGGAAAGGCTAGTCCATGTGGCTCTTTCTGGGACGTGCAGTTTAGCTTGCTTTAAGGAAAAGATGATGATGTCATGATTCATGAGCTCTTTCTAGTCTGTGTACCATCTCACTCTTGGTCCTTGAAAGGCAATGTAAGCTTGGTGAATCTAATGAAAATAATATCTAACAATTATTGACCACATACTGAATGTCACCGGGCTAAGGGTTTTGTATGGATTGTCTTGTTTAATGCTCATAGAACTTGTTGAAGTAGGTATTATTTTTAGGCCTGTTGTCATAAGGAAGAAATAGGGTGTAGACAGATTAAATAAAGCCCAAAGTAACACAGCCTGAGAGATAATTGGAATGCAAGCAGCCATTCTGCTTCCTATATATTATAACAGACATAGTGACAGATTGTAGGTGTGTCTGTATGGAGTGAATGCATTTGTCAACTGTGTAGAACATTCTAATGAACACTGGTAGGGGGAGGGAGGCAGCAAAATAGGCTAATGTATTAGCACCTTACTCTGTCTCTGGAAGGTCTTTGCTACAAGATTTGCTGGTGGCTGAGTAACCACCAACTCTGAACTTGGGTGTAGGATATCTTTGCTCCACACAAAATACACATTTTCCTACAGGATAGAAAAAGGTGGTACTACAATGTAACCTTCAAGCTTTGCCTCTACAAAGCCAAACGTCCAAGGGAAATGCAGAAAACAGGAAAAATTATGGTGGAATAAGAAGAGCAATACTCCAAATGCCAGGAAAGCTGAGTTTAGCTTTGGCCCTTATCTGTAAAAAGGGGAGGCTTGAAAGATCACGTCTAAAGACTCTTCAGAATGTAATATTCTATGACCTAGTTATATTTAAAAGCTGAGTGCTTGGTAAATTTTAAACAGAATATTTGAGTGATTAAAGATATATTTAATCTGGATGATTTGACACCATGTAGAAGGAGTCAGGGGATAAGAAAGCATTATGTTCTGCAATTTTGCTACTGAGAAGGGAGTTTGATAAGTCATCTGGCCCTTGCATGCCCTAACTTCTTCCTTTGTACGTCAGAATCAGTAAATCATCAGGCCCTGGGAGATGCCTCTAATAAAAATCACTCTAAAGCCCTTAGCTCAGTTCTCAGTTAGAGACTGGAGGAGCCTTTGTTTCCAAATTATTAAGAAAAAAAAAAATTCCTTCTGATTCTTGTATCATTAATTTTATTATTTTTCTGTGTTTTTCTTTTCTTTCTTCCAGTTAGGCCCTCCCTGTAGAACAAACCCAATATTATTATTCCATCCCCTTAATGAACACTTTACGAGAGGAAATGTGCTGGCCTTACAGTAACCAAATCCACTTTAAAAAAATGTTCCCATTATTTTGTCCTGGCAAAACCCTGGATTCCTGGAAGTCGTGGTGATTAATGGCAGTAGCTAAGAGCCTAAGAGCTTTAGAAAATAAACGTCAAGGTGCCTGAACAGAGGAGAGATGCTGAGCTTTTCCACTGGCCAGACTCAACATACATTCACCAGCTGGACGTTCTCGGGGGGCGGGTTGGGGTGGTGAGGCCCGTTGGCTATGTTGACCATGTTGTTGCGTTCAGACCGCAGACTCTGCCGAAGCCGGTCATGAAGCTTTTTCCGTTGTTTCCTGGATATGAAAAGGGGAGCATTTATTTTTTTCTATCATTTACATTTCTTGGTACACTCAACTCTTGGTTCTACCAACACGTAAGTCAGGTAGGAGACTGGTGGAGGATATGCCACTCCGTCTCGGATTCTGCCTACGGACAGAAGTGGAATCACACAATCTTAGTGAATACATTTAAGGAGCTGGGGCGGGGGGGGGATTCTTACAGAAATCTAACTGGACTGCTGAGAGATAAGGAAAAAAAAGGAGAAGACAAGATAAATCAAGTTGATATTTGGCTCAAACCCCAACTTTCGCAGTCAATCCATCTTTGCCTGAGTCTTACAGATGGTCATTTGTCTTGGGTACCAATTTGTGCCGTGCAATTGATAAGGCTGATTGCATTCATAATTTTGCCTGTGTGTGTCTTAAGAAGATGCGGTTAATTCTGAATCTGTACCTTCTACACGGTGGGTGTGCATGTATGGCATTGTATGTGAGTGCAGCTAGGTACATATTTTGCCCATAGATTTAGCACAGTTAGAACATGATCTTATTCTTACTAACACTTTTTTTGTAGAACTAGGCAATGGATATTGAAATACTGAGATTGAATCTAATAAGACTCATAAGGTAGATTTCAGTAAGGCTTATTTCTATCACTTACTCAATTCTGGCAACCCATGAAATCCTGGGGTATTAAGAAAATGCCATCCATGCCCTTAATTTTATGTCTAAAAGCATATTGTCTTTGTTCCTCAATGCAACATTCAGGTCATGATAATATCCCCATGACTGGTTTTGGCAAGAGAGTTTATGTGATGAAGCAACAAAATGAAACAAAACTGTTAACGTTACTTCCTACTTGAAGCAGAAGTTCTATGTAAGAGAGAAAAGTGAAGGGAAATCAGGTCACACAGTAACTGTGTTTGTTAATATGGACCCAGCTTAACGGACCAGACATAGTGAACACAAATCTGCTTTAATGTTTTCTCTTCTTCTTTCAAAGCAAGATTTGCTTGATTTTCCTCCCATGAGATTCTTTTTGTACATCCCACACTTTGAGAGCATTTGAGCTGGTAAGCTCATTAGATGGAATGGGTAAATAATCACAATAATGTTTTAAAAACCTTCATTCCCAACATCACCAAGTGTTTCCTTTATCTCCTAAGTCTGAGTGCAAAGTGGGATGTGTCCTCAGCAGTGACATGACAGGTGCACCCTAGGCACCAATCCCTGTCCTCTCAGGATCATCCACACACACCTGCATATGCCCCACAAGCCCATCCGTCCAACTCTTTCCCGGGTCAGGGGCCACGGTCAATGACCAGAAGTCTTCTGAACACTTTCACAGAAATAGGCAAAGCTTTCTAGTTATGTGATTAGAGAAAGTCCTCGAAATAGATTGCTCAGAGGAAAAAATGAGAAGAAACACCCCCCGCCTCCCCACTCCCCCTTTTCAAGCCTAGGCTGTGGAAAATGCTTTCCGCAAAGCCCTGGGCCAGCTGAGCTGTCTTCTCTGCGCTAAGGAACGAGAGGCATGGAGGAGGAAGGTTTACTTGGTTTTGCAGTAGGCCACCACACACATGATGCCGACCACAAGCAGGGCGATGCAGATGCCGGTGATGGTCAGCACTCTCTTCTGGTATAGCTCCTCCGCTTCTGGAAAGGGATGAGAGCAGATGTCACCAAAGCCCCCTTATACTCGCCAGGACTTAACAACTGAACAGTTGGCATGCGGCATGGCATTGTCCATGTTCACGAGAAAGTAAATACGTGACAATTCATTACTTTTGCAGACATACTTAAGGTACGGCATACTCTGCATTACACTTTGAGCATAAACAGCAAAGCCAGCTGGGGCCATTTGCAATAAAAAAATTATACTATTAAATTACTCTACTTATAAGCTACAGATATATATGTATTAAACTGGCAAATCATAAACATTAATTATAAAATAATAATTTCGTTAAAACTGTAGTTTTTAATGAAAAAAGGAAATCTCTTGCAAAGGCAACAGGAATCAATGCCAATAAAAGGAGCTGGAATTGGAACCACTGGGGCCGTCCTCGGCCTCCTCTCTCCCTCCCTCCCCCCTCCCAAACCCCTTTTTATTATTCCCGTGGTCTTTACAAGGAGCCATTTCTAACTTAAAAAAATAAACTCAAAGACATTTGCAAACATGAGCTTGACTTGTAGTTAGCAACAGAATTGAGGCAGGATCCCTATGATTTAACAGTAAAATGTGAACATAAGCAACACAGCAGGGCACTGTATCAGAGAAAATCCAATATGGTGGGTAGGAGAGTCTGGGGCCAAGATGAACCCTTGTCCTTTGAGGGACAATTATTATCACTTCACTGACTGTACTTAGAAACCGAATTGATCTGTATAAAGAAACCGCTAGCACACAGGATATGTGACTTGGACTAGATTGTCCATCCCTGTAGTGATCAGCTTGGCCAATTAGCTCAAGGAGGTCGCATAACGGAGGGTGATGCTTAGAACTTTGCATTAATAGTACCACTGTACCTTAAATGCAGCCAGTCTCTTATTCATGGAAGTCTTTCTACTTGCAAATCAGTTTTGGGGAGGGATCACTTGATTATACTTTGGTAGGCCAGGTTCTTCACGAGATTGGCAGATTTAACGGCGAACTGATCCCTTAGGAACTGAGCTTGCAACCAGTCTAATTACATTTATTGGAAGACATTCACAAGTTCACCGAAGAAGAGAACTCAGACCGGGTGCATCATAAGCATTGTAAGCCGGACTTGCCAAATTGATTAATAAGCTGGTCAAAAACTGGGGGATATCATACAAATGAAGGTCTCTTATCTGGATATCAACATGGGGCCGTAGGGAACATTTTCAGTTTTCTTTACTGAGAGAGGGCGAGTCGCAGGAAGTTTTCTTGCAATGAAAAAGCGCATTTTAATTTCTGTGATACAGTAGACCTTATCATTAAACAAAACATTTCCTACAAGCCAAGCCCATGGTAATCAAATTCCAGTTAACAGATCAGGAACATTGTCAAATCAAATTAATATAGCACTGATTATTAACAGGAGGAGAAGGAGAATAGAAGTCTGGGTAAAAGACTAGAAGGCCGCAGAAATTATACAAAAACAAACCCAAAGGGTCGGAAGTGGGAGGGAAGAAAACAAACCCAGAGGACAGACAGACTGACAGAATGACGGAGAGAGGGAGGAAGTCAGGTAGGAGGGAAAAACAAGATTAAAAGTGAAGGAGCCATCTGAAGTCCCTGGCACAGCATGCCTGATACTAAGGGAGGAAAAAAATAAACAAACAAAAGAAAAGCGGAGGGAGGAAATGCTGGGTGGGAAGAGAGGGTGGATGCAAAGTTGGAAGGGTTATCCCATACAGCATAACTCCTACCCTAGGCTGGCGGTCACGTGGAAGCCACAATTAGGAAGCAAAGCAGCTGGTGCATTGCAGTAGAGTGGGGTCGGGTCACATATTTTCGTGCCGCAAAAGTCAGCCGAGGATGTGGAATGTGAACGCTTCTATGTTAATCGCTGTGTCCGCTGCCTCCCCTCCCCCAGAGCCCCAGGACAGGGAATTACATTTGACGAGGTGGTAATCTGTGAGCAGATTCACAAGTTCACCGAAGGAGAAGTACAGGAGCCTCCTCCTGGACCTGGCATGCGGATCAGTTTTTAGCAAAATGTCTAAGAAGGAGAGGCGGCGCCCCACTGGTCCCTCCCCGTGGGGCCCGGGATGCAGGGCTCCGCCGGGTGTGACTGCTTGGTTTAGAAACAGCCGCGAGAAATGGAACCCCTCTTGTCTTCCTTTGAAAGGGGGAGGGCTTGGTAGTGCTGGCATCTTAACACGCTGTCTTTAGAAAGAGCTGCGAAGCTACTTCTGACAACTACGAAAATGGGTTGCATCTAAGGACTGAAGGGGGAAAGGGCGTCCCGGCTCCTCCCCGGGATTCCATGGACAAGTTTTTTTGGTGGTTGCTAATCATAAAAGAATAGATTGACCTCAGGTTGTCAGCAAATGTGGCATGCTGCCTCACTGTTCTGCCTATGTGATGGGGGAAGACACACATTTTTCCAGTGAAATTGGTCATGGAAATAAAAAGGCAAGCTCAGTAAAGGCCAAAGGGTATAAAGCAAAGTGCTAAAATGAACCAATGAAAGACAAGGCCCACAGAATACAGACGGAGGATTAAGATTCTGTATTCACAACAGCATTCACCAAATACATTAAATGTTTCTCATCTTAGTTTCTATTTCCTTTCCCAATGATTTACTAGATCAGGGGACCTCCCCTCCCCCACATCATGAATGTGTTAAAAGAGAAGTACTTGATGAACAATCATATAAACAATGGGTTTTCACCCCCTGTTCCCCTTATTTTTTTCCCCTAGTGTGACAGGGTCAGTAGGGCAAGAGCAAATTAGAGGCAGTGCTGAAAAAAAAAAAAAAAAAAAAAGAATCTGTCAGTCCAGTTGGCGGATCTGCCTTAATGAATGGAAATGCTTCCGAGTCCTTACTCTATGGTTTGGCTGGACGCATTGAAGTCAATCAGATCAAGCATGTTTTCCAGTCTGATCTGGTCAGGCTGAGAGACAGAAGCCTTGTCTTTCTCAATGTTAATTGACCTTTAAGGTCTGATTTTCCTTAAGAATGAACGTTCTGGCTCAGTACACCGGCTGTCCTGGGTCTGTGGAGTCTCTGGACCATTTGCCTTTAAGGGGTACGCAGATACCAGCATGATGTATCTTTACTGACCCTTCAGATCGTACTGAGGGAGAAGACCTATATCTGAACTATCCATTGCCCTACCTCATTGTCTGGGAAGAGAAATATTAAATTCTAGTTAGACCCGAAAGTGATAAAATGGGACAAAGATGCTATTAAGGAAAAGGAGGAGGTGATGGTAGATTTTTTTCCTCCCTGCAGGAAAGGCTGGTAAGCCTTTTCAGTAGTGAGACAATTTTTATTCTGAGGGAGGTCTCCTAAATAGATCCCTCTCGTCATGTAGATAACCCACCGCCCGAGTGGCGCTGGTGGGAACTCTCGTGCTTCTCACTCTTGGGAGATGTTCTCTGATGTGCACAGGGTCACTCACATGCAAGTGGGGGTTTCCTCATCCAATGAATGGTTTCTCTTCAAAGTTTTTTGACGGGGGGAGTGGGCAATCAATTGAGCTTCTACCGCTGTCCCGGACAGAACTTGCCACAGCCTTATTTTCCACGAATTATGGAAAGTAGATTAGGTAGGGACTGTGATGCTACCGTCCAGGAGAGTAGCACCTATGCTACAGGGCGCTCTCACTGCGTGATGTCACCAACACCAGCCGCCTGGAGCTCAGCCATTCTGCTCGTCAGGACTTTGCTTTGTTGCCCCACAGCCGCGATCCAGCACTGCAGGCAGTGCTCAGGGAGCCCGGGCACCTGCATCGTGGAGCCTCTGGGATGACCGAATGGCTTCCCTCTCCTCCCAAAAATTGGCCCTGGCTCCCAATGATTTAGGACAAAGGCTTCAAAGGGAGTATGCCCCAAATTCATATGCTCATAAGAGATATTACCCTATGTTTACAGTGTGAACATTTCTATTTGATTACTTATCCGGATAATCCAAGTGACTCAAGGTTAATTCCATTAGTGCTAGAATTTCCACCTAAAATAGCACTGGGCGTATTTCTTTCTGTTTTCTATTTCCTTGCTCCGAAGATAATGAAGTTGACTAGAGGAGCGCTTGAATATCCCCAGAAAAATCACAGTCTGCACATACAGTACCGTGTGGCATTGTAAGGCCTTTCCATGTTACTGTATCAAGTAGGTGATTCTTTACATTGTATGTCACATTCTCATCAGCCTAAGATGTGGGGTGTTTTTAAGCTGATGCACTTAGAGCTTCTTTTGTTCTCTCAGGCCTGGCTTGGTTCCTCCCATAGCCTTATGCACCTCTCCAACTTACCCCCGCTCTGAAATAACAGCATGGTCAGATCCAGTCAGAGGGTCAAGGAACGTGGGGGTATATGTGACTTTGCAGCAGGTTGAGGTGATTTTTAAACTCTAAGTGAAGTATGGAAATCTAGAAACTGCTGCACTCAGTGACATTTCAGTAAACTAATCATAGATTGGAAGCAGAGAAATCATTGTTATAGCTGTATGATCCCTTCTGAAGGAAAAGGAAATTAGTTAGGAACTGGAAGGTAAGAGTAGGAAGGGAAAAGATTTCAGCTCATAGGTTCTAAATTCTGCAGGCTAAAAGGAATGATGATTGGTCCATACCCATAAATTCAATCCCAAGATGCTCTGCCAATGCAGAAAGTTGACAAAAAAAAGAAAGAAAGGGAAAAAAGTTTCAGAAAAGAGCAATACACTGCACTCCAAAACACATTACACATGACTATTAACGGCTCTCTGTGCGTGCACATTGAACAGGACAAATGGCGGGTGGTTAAGGAAGCAGTGCTCAGGTACGCCTCCGTGAGTCCCATAGGGAACTTCTCTTTTTTAAGAGGTGTGCAAATACCAGCACACCCTCTCTTTATTAACCCTTAAAAGACCTTACTGAGGGAGAAGTTGTACTGCTGAACTATCCTCTACGCTACTTCATCATCTAGGAACGGAAATACCGTATTTATAATAATAAAAAAAAAGGCATTCGGTATCATCTCATTCCTCTCTTGAAAAGGCAGAAGCAAAGTCGCAGGGAGGTCGGGATTTTGTTTTTTTACCCAAAGGCACCCAGTGGCAGAGCCAGGAGTGGAAGCCAAGAGTATAGCAATTTGGTCTGAAATTTTTATTGCATTGTATTTACATTTTTTGTAGCCTGTGGATAGTCATGCTCTAACATTTCTTATTGTTTGGTTATTTTTTAAAACAAAAACCTATCTCCTTTTCTGCTCCTAACCTTCCACTTTCTCCACCACTTACATAATGTTTCATTCATAGAAAGCAATAAAAGCTTCTGCTCAAAAAGCCAGAGAGGGAATTGGGGTACAGAGCCTGCCTCTAGAGTTTTTTCAAATAGCTCCTGTGTGGCATCGGATAACTCTCAATGCCTCACTTTTCCAAACAGTTAAAAAAAAAGGGGGGGGGTGCTGCTGGTCCTTAGTTAATGTCAATGTATGACTCCCTCAAATAACAGAGAGCCAACTCAATGGGCACTCCACAGTGCCGAGCTCCGCCACCCAGATGAGAGCACAGGGCTCAGAGGCGCTGCAGGGCTGCCCGGGCAGGGGGCTCAAAGGCGTGGGCTCATTACAGCCCACAGTCCTGGCAGATGTGTCCATGGAGGCTCCGGAATGACAGGACTAGCAGAACCTGCTCAGGCTCCAGTGAAGAAATGGGGAACATGGGCCAATTAAAAATAAAACCCTCAAACCTCCAGAAATGACACTTCCCATTCTCGAAGCAAAAAACTGTGAATCGAATTTCATTGGGTGGGACCCTTTTGGATTCCTTACTTGCCTGTGTGTGGTGGAGAAGCCTGTGGGAAGGAAGGGCGGAATGAAAACGGAGATTCAGGGGTCTACAGTTCTTCCCTTGATCCCTGACTGGAGAGATACCAGGGAGGTCCAAAAATAGGACACAGCACCTCTTGAGTTTGAAAACATGCGGTTGAGGGGTAGTTCTCTTACAAAAACATCAGTTTGGGCATGGACAAAGCGCCTCAAGTAAAGAGTAGAAAATCAGATGGTAAGTGTGCTGTCTGGCTTGTCCCGGTTCCAGGTCCTGTCTCTGCCATTGACCTGTTCAGTGACTTTGGACCAGTTAATTTCTCACCGACAAAATGCTTAGGATCCTAACACATGCGTCACAGGGAGACCCTGTGCAATAAAGGAGCCATGAAATATGGCGGCCAACAGCAAAAGGGTTAAGAGCTCGGAGAGCAAACCTATCTGGAGATCTACCTTGGGCCACTTAATTGCATGTAGGTTTACTTTTAACTAACTCATGGCCAGGAAAACTCTGAAAGCTCCTGGGGTGTACCCAAGAATTTAGACTTTAAACACTTTCCACCTCTTAAAGAAATGAAGCTTCCAGATTAAAAAAGAAATCAAAGAGTCCATCGAGTAACAATAATAATGAGAGGCACGATGTATAATAGTTCAGTTTGCCCTGGGTCAAGGGTACTCAGGCAAATAACCTAAACTCTTCATAAATCAAAAGCCAGGGGATTTAGGATTAAATCGGTTGCACAATGTTCACAGCAAAATCACAATTTATTCAAATCCAAGTGAACTTCACTTGTGTCTATGCAACACTCAATTTGACAATTTGCTCCCTTTATATAAACTTTGGAACATCAAGTACAAGAACTCATTTTCCAAGGAAGTGATAATAAATTTCCTTACACATTTCCTTGAAGATGTGACTCAGTTTTTCTCCCTAGAATCCCTTTCATCTTATGCCTTTTCCTCCTACCGGTCAGTAATAATTTAAGGGTTAAAATCAAGAGATTATCTACAGAAACTCTTTCCAGAGACTCATTATTCCATGCCTACATGAACACTGCTAATGATCTATATTAGTTGCGTAGAAAGCTTGGTTAAGTCTTCAATAAAATTAGTAGCATGCCCATGCATACATATTACTGCATTTACAGTTTTATAGGTAAGTCTGTGAGCCCAACTATAATTTCATTTCATGGGAAGTCATTCATATCAGGCAGCTCCAATTTCAAATAATTCAAAGGGAAATTGGTACTTAAAATTGGAATCTCTTCTGGCCATAAGCCCTAACAAGGAAACAAGCAGAGGAAACATGCATCAGTCATTCTCAACCTGGAGCAAATACTGCTCTAATTTATTTTTACTATTGGTGGCTACATTTCTTTCATTTTGAGTCAAGAAAAGCAGAATACACAAATAATTTTCATTTTATGAAAAGGTTATTACTTTCTATCTGTTCTATTTAATCTAATGTTGGCTTAGGCTCGTTATGTATCATACGCTTCCTATTGAACTTCTGATCTAGCCACTACATTTTTCAAATTAAATTAATAATTCAAAAACACAAAGGTTACCGTAAACAATTTAGTTTCCTTTTCTACATGTGATTTCCTGCTGTGCAGTAAGCAATATAAAAAATTAATTTAAACCTAAGAGTCGTCAGAAACTATTAAATATTGACTCACTAATCCTTCGCTGTAGGATTTTATAATTGTTTGAAGAATACTGATTAACCTGTAGGTTAATTTAAATTTTCAATTGCATCAGAGAAAAATAAGACAACTTTCTTTTACCAAAATTTATCTGTACATGCATTTCGTGGTTTCTGTTAAAACTTGAAGACATTCAGGATTTTACTCTTTAATATCTTGGGCCTCCTTATGCAAATAATATCACAGACATATGTACAGTCCTGAGTCGCTGCAGCCCTGAGACTTCTCAAGGAGGTCTGTCAATGCCAGTGCTAAATGGGACCAATTTAGTGTCTGACTTTTAGTTTTGACTTACCTTTACAAATGTAAGTACTTTTTTTTTTTTCACATATACAAATCCGTATTGCCACTGAGCCTTTTGAAATGTAATAGGAGACTTTGTCTTCGCCCCCAAGTTTCCATGTGCACATGAGCTCACTCACCGACACACACACAATAAAGTCTCACTAACACTCAGCTGGGCTTTATGACAATTTGTCATTGATTGTGCCTTTATTCTACTGTCAGCAAGATACACATGTTGGATAAATAAATGAATAGCATCAGTGGTTTTTAAAGCATTTAGAAATCAACACAAGTAATTTATGGACTAGGAACCTCTGATTCAAGACTACATTTAAGGATATCTATTGGGTTTACTCATTCTAAGAATATGCTTAGAAGTTCTAAAATTGTAGTCTTTAAGAATATTCTATAATTTGGGCTATTCGATAACTATCTCCTATTATATATTAGTTTCTATATGACATACTTGTTCCATATTGCCTCTAACTATTGAAGCTGTGAGTGCTTTTTTTTCCTGTCCAATAAATCCACAAATCAGTTATGAATTGTCTGTATAGCTCCCCCCACCACAAACATACCCCACAATGATGAATACAGTCCTTTAAAGTAGGAATTCTGTGTCAAGATAGGTCAAATTTGAAGCTGACTAACCTTGACAACATTTTCCTAGAAAGTATTCCAAATACGTTTTCTTTCAAAGCAAATGGCTGCCTTCAAGAAAGCCCTATAAAATATACATTTGTTCTTTTCTTTCATACTTTAAATCTGTTTTTATAAATCAATAAATGCCCACAGGATACTCTGACCAGAAAAATTGCATCAAATCCTAATAATGTAAGTTATGTGTTAATAAGCATTTTAAAAATTGTACATTCTTTTAGAATGTCATTCTTCAATTGAAAATGTAGTTTGGTGAGTTGAAAAAATGTTTCTTTCCGAACCTGGGGAATAGCTTTTCTTTGAAAATTTATGTATGTGTTTCAGATGTTATGAACACAATGAAGATTTAATCATTACCACCGTGGCGACATTTTTTATTCTTCGTGCAGACGACATTGCTACTTGAACATAAAGTTCTTAAAGCAGCAAAATTTATTTTCCTGCCTTCTCTACAGGGATTTGCAGAAATGAACACTGAGAACTTAAGACATAGAGGTTAGAAAATTAACTCTGGGCAAGACAACTTTGGAAAGCAGTTTCTGAATGGCAGCTCTTGTGTTTCCAGATCTGAGGCGGCATCGATGCCGGGCCATTTACAGCTTCTGTTCCTAAATGTGCTTCCTATCAATCTTTGTTACATCAGGGTAAATAGGAATGCTGCTGTCCTGGATGTCTTCCAAAAGTGCCATCGAAAGCTTACTGAAAAATTTATTTAAGGAATCACACTCTGATTAAATACACAGAGGCTATTTTGAAATGATACCTTAGGAAAAAGAAAACGGTCTAAAATAGAAGTTTGAAACATTTTCTCGGGTTACTACTGTCAGCTCTAAACTGCATCATTATTTGGGGAAATAGCTTCATTGTTTTAAATGCTTTTCCCTAGATAGGGTCCTAACATTGCTTCCAGTGCACAATGAAACTCTACATAACACCAAAAATTTAAGTGTAATATAAACGTTCAGAATTTTCACGAAATTCTAAAATATAATGCTATCATATTTATATAGGCACATGATTTGCTAAATCTGTGGTATTTGAATACAAACTGATTTCTAAAAGGAATGGCTTAACTATATTGAGTAAAACTCTATCACTTCTATTTTTACTTTGCATCTTATCTACCTTTAAAAAGATTAATCTATAGCTATGGGGAGAAAAATTCTGTCCACTAAATGTATATTATTTCAAGACTTGTGGATAAAGGGAAGACTGTGTTTGAAAATTTAGCAAATGCCAATTTACTAATTTTTCCCAACAGAAAATGGCCTATGACATCTATGTAAATACACAAAAAGTACCACCTCTCTAACTAAATGAATAAATGAGTATTATGCGTGTGATCTCCCCGTAATGCGTATGAAATTAATTTTTCCGTGAAACTTATTCTTCCATGAGTGTTAACAGGAGGCATAGAATCTTATTTTTTGCATGCAGCAAGTAAAGGTAAATCTGATTCTTTTAGGGTCCCCAAATGACCGGCTCACATCACTGTTTCTGGTGTCACGTGAATTTACACCGATAAGCTATGTGAAGTATTTTTCAGGCTGCGCAACTGACAATCCAAATTAGGGGTCGATAAATCCAGCCCACTGCCTGCTTTTGTAAATAAAATTTTATTATTTTTTTTATTATGTTCAGTTAGCCACTGTATAGTACGTCATTAGTTTTTGCTGCAGTGTTCAATGATTCATTAGTTGCGTAAATAAAGTTCTAATAGTGCACCTCTATGCTCATCAGTTCATGCGTTGTCTATGGCGGCTTTTGAGTTGGCAGAATTAGCGGTTTGTGCCAAGGATATTATCACCTGGCAAACCCTGAAGTCTTTACTATCTGATCTTTCACAGAAAAAAAAAAAAAATTGTCGACCTCTGATCTCAATCGATAACTATATGGAATCCACCTTAAGTATAATGCTTTGAAAGCTCCAGAATTAAAAGTGATAGCCCAGTTCATAACAGCAGGACAAATTATATAGTTTAGTTATCCATGCAAATTATATACGTGTGAACTGGGTCGCTTAGGAATGATGTTCAAAACTTCACAAAGTCATAGACAGCCATCAAAATTTCCCAGTTCTGCATTTAAAAGTATCTGTCTAGAGGTAAACTACTATATTTCAAAGTAAATAATAAATATCTTTAAAAAAACCTATTTGTCCCTAAAGTTATCATTGAAACCAGCATAAAGGAATGCTAATATAAATAAATGATTGTTTAAACTAGTCCTGAATCACTTGTTTCCTAAGCAACATAAGGAGAAGCCAGGATATCTCATTTGCTGTGAAATGTTTGTTTGTAATTTTGCTAGTCAGTGCCTTTTTAAATACCTAAATGCAAACTGTTAATGAAGAGAAACATCTGAACTCTTTTGAGTATGTTTATTTGTTATAAATAACACATTCTGAGCCAAAATTAACTTACCATCATTTCAAGTGCATATTGATTACAACTTGGCAGCAACCTTTTCAGGATGTTGCCATTTTTTATAAAGAAGATGGACTGTTTAGCGGAATGATTTTATTTTATCAATAAAAGTGAGACTTTTAAATGCCTTTATTATAATTGCACTGTGTGATGTTGACTATCATTTTGTATCACATTATTCAGTACCAATTTCAGAAGCATCCGGAGCCTCACACGCCTATTAGTATCTCAGAGCCAACTAGTCACGAACAGAGGAAGTAATACAATCGCTTTTTGTTAATGTTCTCATGCGACAGGCAGAGGCAGTCAATGTTAGACCTGGTAAAACGCATCTAGCTCTAGGTGAGATCTGGGGGGAGATGCAGCAACAAGAAAGCGGCACCGACTGAGCATGCTCCTACTCAGGCAGAGACAGAAAGGGAGTGGACGTACTGTAGAAGCTGGCCATTACGTAGTTTTGGCAGCGATCACCAGTAAACTCATTTGGGCACCTGAGAGAAGAAACAAAAAACAATGGTAGAAAAAACAGAGAAAAAGAGAAGAGGTGAATATACGCTAGAAAGAAGCTCCTTCAGTGTCATTTGACTGAACTTGGTGAGTTCACCCTCAGGAACTGAGTCTTTGTCCTAACCATGGTTTCCAGACTCTGGCATTTCCCCCAAAGGATTCAAAGTTTGGACGAAGTGTGGTCCCAGCGTCTGCATGACAGCAGCAAGATGGCAGCATCTTAAGGGGCAGCTTTCTTCCAAAGGGACTCACCTACAGTGAACTCGGAGGTATTCTTCGAGTCCGTTTTCCATTTGAGAGCTTTGGTCAAAGGTGTTGGAAGGAAATTTTCGTGTTTTTTGGTTGGCCTGCCTGCCACGATGACCAGCCTCACTGGCCATCTTGGCCGGCACTTCTCATTTACCTCGATGATCTTTGGGGCCCAAGCTGGCAGACAGGGAAACAAGCTCACACTGAATGAGTCTACACCCCGAGTGCTTAAGCCATTGTTAGGACAAAAGGAATCAGTTACAACTGAACTGTAAAAGCACCAAGTGGTAGTAATTGTTGCTGTAGTTTGGGGGAGAAAGCAAATTTCAGATTATTTTAACATACTTTCTTGGTTTTGGACTTTCATGGGCACATTCTCAGTACATCTTGCTCCAGTGAATCCAGGTTGGCACCTAGAGGGCAAAAATGTGATAAGCAATAGAACGCTACAGACACTGAATTTTCAGACTGGCAATTTTCCTCCTATGGAATATGGAGATTCCTACAATGACCTGGTGACTGAACAACATAAAGAAAAGGAAAAGAACACATTTAGAAAAGCAAGTTCCAAGACAACTGCGGGGCATATATTTTTGTTGTGGTTTGCTTCAGTCTTCCTAAGAAGAGTTGACTTAAATTTAACTCAAGGGAGGCTGAAAAGTTGAATAGGGCTGGCAAGGCCTGGGCCACTAAGTCACCTTCCCTTATTTGCCACTGGGCACTGACTCCTACCTTGTTAAAACGCTGGTTTTGATAAGGACTTACACGGTTCCATCCATGATCTTTTATTATTTAAATGATCCTAAGCCTTTCCATCCTCTATACATTCAATTCTGTACATTCATAGCTACTTTTATGTTAGTTCAATCATCGAACTACCATAGAAGTCAAGCTCTTCCATACTCTAGCGATTACTGACAAGAACAACTATATTCCCAATTTTTTTAAAGGTATTACAGATTAGGTCTCATTTTTAATACTGCATGACAGAAAAAGGCAGATTATTTATTAGCACAAATTTCACTTCATCCATGGATCCCAAATCAAAGGCAGATACGTTTTTAAAATTTAAACGGCTACTCTTCTATAGTCGTACTTAACAGATGTCATTTTGCATCTAAGATAAAACTATCTTTCAGTGGTATAAACTTTTCATTTTACTCACATACGTTCACCCATATCGTTCATAAGGTCATGCAATGGGGATGCGCCTAACTTTGGAAGTCCTTTCTAACGGCTCTTTTTGTTGCTGTTATACCACTAACGAAAGCATTTCATATTGGATTCATTGTACCCAATAACATACTCTAGGAAATAGGGCCATCAAAAGGTTCCAGGAAGCAAATAAACTTATAGATGCTCAACACCCACAGCCGTGATTACTATTAATAGTTTAGCTATACCATAATGATCATGCAAAACACCTAATAAAATGTAGCAGTGACAGCACATACCTCATGATTTACACATGACCCTGTCTTCTCAGAGTAAATAAGAATAAACACTATTTTTTGGGCATCAAAGAAATGTGAATAAAACTATTCATTTTTACAAATGTAAGGGTGATATTTTTCTCATTCCCCTTAAAACCATATTCAATGCCAAAAAAGTATTACCAAGTGACTTGGTGTATCTAATTTTCCTATTTCTTTTCTTTTTTTTTTTTTAAAGGTTTTATTTATTTGACAGAGAGAGACACAGTGAGAGAGGGAACACAAGCAGGGGGAGTGGCAGAGGGAGAGGCAGGCTTCCCGCGGAGCAGGGTGCCCGATGCGGGGCTCGATCCCAGGACCCTGGGATCATGACCTGAGCCGAAGGCAGCCGCTTAACTGACTGAGCCACCCAGGCGCCCCTCTAAATTTCCTATTTCATGAAGAATGGCGTGTAAGATAAAATACTAGCACTTCTTGAGTTTTAGTCCCGTGAGTTCTTGTGCAAACATAAAGTGTAATTATGATCATTAGCATATTATCAATAAACTTAACAACAAACATCGTGTATTGGTATAGCTCTTTTCAACCCTTCAAAACACTTTTGTATAATTAAACTGGTTATTTTTGGTTAGAATATGTTTGCAGCAGTGAATAGAGGAAGATCTACCCAGAGAAATCCAGAAATAAGAATGGTAGTCTGTGGGGGCTCCTGGGTGGCTCAGTCGTTAAGCGTCTGCCTTCGGCTCAGGTCATGATCCCAGGGTCCTAGGATCGAGCCCCGCATCGGGCTCCCTGCCCTGCAGGAAACCTGCTTCTCCCTCTCCCACACCCCCTGCTTGTGTTCTTGCTCTCGCTATGTCTCTCTCTGTGAAAAAAATAAACAAAATCTTTCCAAAAAAAAAAAAAGAAAAAAAAGAATGGTAGTCTGTGAGGTTGGACCATTTTTCATAAAGATGTCATTACACATGCTTTAATAAGAATGTCTTCACAGATATATGAGGAAAATACATGGAAACCTGTTTTCCATAGAACTTATTTCACATAATGACTTCTGAAATACACAGGGTCTTTGTTTGTGTATTTGTTTCTGAACTAGGATTGCAAGTCCACATGGGCATACCCTACAATTAAGCAGGTAATCCAGAATTAAGGATATATTCTATGATGACCATTTCATCTTACCTGTTTGCATTCTTGATAAAAATTAGAATTCTCATATTGATCACACAATAATCCACTTGTTCCATGCAATGAACATGGTATAAGACATGTGAACACTTGCGTGTGGCAGGGGAGAGGGGAGGTAGGGGAGAACCATTTGAAGTAAGAAGTGCACTGATTTAAGGATCAGGAAATTAACATATAGCTGAAGAATCATGAGTCCCTTGAGAGAAGGAATGCATTTATTAGAAAATTGTCATTTGTGCATCTTGGGTGTCCATGTTGAGTGAGAAGGCACAGGACAACTGGGTGAAGTGGATCAAAACTCTTGCCCAATCAATTTTCTAATTAGTATGAACTTCTAAAATGATGTTTCCTAGGAACCTGGCATTATGGCTTGGTGGTTTATCTCCATCATAAGATGACATTGACTATCTGGTATAGTAACACCAGATCTGCTGAAGGTATGCCAATCTTTTTTGGAACTATCAGTTATATCTGAACCCAAACTACCCTTATGCTAATGTTTACCTTCACTCAGATAAATTTTCTTAGGGTAAAGCCTTATTATTATTCAAAGTGTGGTTCATGGACCAAAAGCATCAGTATCTCCTGGGATCTTATTAGTAGAAATGCAGAATCTTGGGCCCCCACTTCATAACTACTGAATAAGAATCTGCATTTTAACAAGATCCCTAAGAGATCTGTATGTACATTAAAGTTCAAGGTGTCAGGGACCCCGACCTTGGAAGATGGAGACTAAGTCCCTCTATCCTGTCACCACAGTTATCTTGGGGCTTGGACGTGGGCAGTCCATTTGACTTTGACTTCATCAGGCCTCAGTGATAAGATGAGGGACTTAACTAAGTGATTTATCAAAGGCTCCTTTCACCACAAAGGTTCTGGGAATCAATGCTCATCCTAACACATGGAGTCACTGTATGAAAACTGACGAGCATTTCTTCTGAATGTGTTACCGGTCGGGGAGGACTCAAGGACTTCGAAAAAACATTTTTGATAGGATGCATTTTTAAGACCATCATGAAGGGAAAACGAATTGCAAATACCTATTCCTAAAGCAATTTGAGCGTGCAGCAATAGTCATTATGTAACTTTTGTGGACATCTAGAGTTGTCGCCAAATTAAATGGAAGGAAGCAGAGACTGAGATAGTTTTTATGTAAGCAAACTGCAGACTGCATTGATTGTATACAGAAAGCATATGCAAATGGAAATTCATCTGATCTATAAGCTCTGATTAACTTCTATGGAATTACTTCTGAAAGACAAGGAGACTGTCTGGCTTCTTACGTATTTATAAATTAGCATTCTACACTAAGCATCCAATCTATCACTTTCTTTGGAGATAAGAGTATGGTAAATTTAATCTGATTTTGAACAATATGCTTTGGCAAGAGTCTGGGAAAATTCCAAGAATTTTATTTCTTAGAAAAATCTGTATGAATAATAAGTCTCTATTGTAGCCTCAAATGTCTCTGTCTCTGAAACCATTTGTTTCATTGATCAGAGTTGACGAAAATTAGTATTATTTTTTGTTTTAGTACTTGCTCTTAACATGATAAATAATGTTTGCTCTACATTTGTGCTTAATGAGATGAAAGTTCACAGACAGTTTCGTCTGAACTTAAAAGTATCACCTCTTCCAACTGACCCTTCCCTGACCTCCATCTCCCCATCTCTGGCTCCCACGGCCTAGCTGACGATTCTCTCTTGGGCTCCTGCACTGCACCCTGTCCCCATCTCTTTCATTGCCCTCGCCTGTCTGGGTTGGGACAGTGACCATATTTTGATCATTCTGTATCTCTAATTTTAACTCAGTATCTGCCTTGTCAAAAGCTCTCACAAAATGTTTGTTAAACCGAGCCTAAGAGTGTCAGAATGCAGTGTCCAATAAAGGGTGAAGGTAAACATTAGCATAAGGGTAGTTTGGGTTCAGATATAACTGATAGTTCCAAAAAAGATTGGCATACCTTCAGCAGATCTGGTGTTACTATACCAGATAGTCAATGTCATCTTATGATGGAGATAAACCACCAAGCCATAATGCCAGTTCTTTATTGGACACTGCAAGATTTGAATATAGTATTGTCAAACAGAAACTGTTTGCAACAATAACCTTAA